TCGAAATACATTCTCAAATCAATTCAACAACCGAGTTGATAATGCAATCAACGTTGAGCTGCAAACAAACAAATACTTGCATGCTAAGTTTGACGTGAGATTGACCGAACCTGTGATAATTTTCTTTCAGAGAGCTTGTTCTTGGAATAATCTCCCAAACGGTATCTTTTCATTATCACTGTTATATACTTGTTTTCTTTTTGTCCTTTACTTAAGGTAATCTTGCTAGAGTATGGTAAGAACGCCATGTTTACAGTTTTTAAGAACAATAAACTCTCTTCCCAAATATTTAGCACAATTATATATATCTTAGAATTGCGAGTTAAATTAAAACAACGAAACTTGTGTTAGTCTATTCATGCATTACGTGATGCATGGATTCTTGTTACATGCAATATATAATTAAGTTGATGTAAAAACGTCTTTATGTATTTATTTTTTTCAAATGCACTTTCACTCTGTGAAAAAAAATATAACTGGTTGTTTACCATTGTAAAATTTATTCTTTGACCTTTTTTTATTAACATTTATTGTCTTACCTTTTTTTCTGTGAATGATGAATTCCCTCAGGGATAAGTCCTAAAATATTTAGCAAATAATATACAATTATACATATCTTCTTAAATGGGAAAAAAAGTTATTATATATTTTTCAAGATAACGGGACCCCCCTAATTTATAACAATATGTCTTATAAAGATCGGTTGAGTTTCTCCTTAAAGGGAATAATTATTGCCAAATGCGAGTAAACTTTGCCCCGAAGGAACTCTTGGAACGTGATTTTGGGGCGGTATCTTATAAGTTATAACTTCCTTTAATTCTCCTTCGTAAAAAAAATATACTAAGTTGGAACTAACACGGAAGTGTTGATTGATAAATGTTAAAGGTGATAGAGCATAAGGATTACAGAAACTGAAAATGGCTACCAAATTTGGTTTGCATCGTTTTTTATTTTTTAATTTGTTGCGTTTCACTTTGTTACTTTAATATAAGAAAATGGTTGTTTCCACTAACTTTATCCGAAATTCCCTTAAATAGTTCTTAACGTTAGGCCAATGACGTTGCAAATGTTCAACGTCAGCTTTGGAGATGGAGCTTTCGTATGTACAACTCAAGTTGAAATCAACGTTAGATGTGAAAAACAATTAATGTTTACCTGTGTTTTTGAAGCACATGCACCTTTTTATGGGCACCCAAAGAAGGAGAAGGCACAAGCACTCATTTTGATGTCATAACATTTATCAAAACTGTACCTTTGCTTGCTTAGTATAGTTACTACTTTTACTTCTCATACTTGTAACTGCACAACCACTTATTTTATTGCTTTGACACGCGAAGATCTTGTTCAGATAAAACCACTGGCACCGAAATATTAATTGTGACAAGAACTTGTTACATATGAAACAGGAAATGGGTGGTATAAAAAACGTAAGACCTGTGAAGTTGCAAATTATGCTTGAGCAACAATAAGCCAAAACGTGGTAATATCAAGTTTCATACTTGTATACTATAAGAGCAGTCATACAACAAAAGACAGTACCCTCCACCTATTCATGTATTTGAAAGGTGGTAATTTGATCTCATCTTCAAAAGGGTATGTGAATGGGCTGTGGCCGAATATTGAAATAGGTGGCTGGAACCAAATAAGCACATACTAGAGACACGTAAAGTTTAAACCAGACAGAGGAAAAACTGTAGTACATGCATGTGCCTGTCACGGCAACAATTGTCATACAATTTAAAATACTCTTCACACCAGAGAGGTCCCTTTGTGTTGCTGGATCAGGAAACTGACCTTGGATTTGAAAATTGGAAAGCAACTGATCCTTCAACTGGAATCTATTTATCAACCAAGTAGACATTTCACTTTCAGATACTGGGATAGTATCGATGGGGATGCAACGAATATGCATATGAACTTCAGAAGGATCCACCCCAAAGACATTGTCCAAGAAAGATGGGCAGCGGTTTTTGTAGCCAATGGTAACATCATAAACTGAATGAAAAGTTACAAGAATTTTAGTGGCAGGATGATATGATTTACAACTGTTACACTTTCAACTTTCTATCGATTGATATCATTGCAAATAACATTATATATGTCATTTTATACAAAAGGAAAAAAAAAAGGCTTATTTAATATCTCCCACATTTATCAGGTGGCTTCTACACAAGTTTATTTTCTTGCAAATGCTAAAAGATATAGACAGATGACAATGCTGCAGATTTTGCATTATAGTATCAAAAGGGAAAAGCAAAGTAGCCCATGAACAATTCTTGAAAGAGTATACGGACTAACTATGAATAAAACTAGCGTCAAACACTTTACCAATAATTATATAGACAGGAAATAAGGACAAACAAGATAACCTGCAGTGAGAGATTCCCTCAGTTCTTGCAAACAGGCGCAGAAGCCCTTTGTCTTTGGAAGTAGAACATTTTTCAGAACTGGTAACCCATGTTCAGCAGCATACTTTTGACTCCGAAGGCACTTTTGGTCACTGCAAGAAAAAAAAATTAACAGAACACACATACAGAGTTACATATGCTACATCAACTCAAACTGGGAGAGAAGATTGTTTAGTTTGAAAGTAACCATTTGAAGAGTGGTGACAGCATATTTTTTTCCTAACTTGTTTTATGGATGTTTCAAGAGAAAAATAGCAAGATTATCAACTTAAATAAACCTGACTTTTTATGCCAGAATAGCAATGATCATAATCAAAGATATTTAACAGTGTATCAACAAAGATTTAGCTGATGATTGCCATTAGGTAAAAAGAAAAGGCATTGGCAAGTTTCTTACGTAAAATCAGTGCCTTCTGGGAAAAGAGCAAGCCAGAGAGGATCTTGTGGATCATTGAATGTTGAAAGCATACGGCGCATGATTGACTCATCTGCCTCCCACTTTCTTTCCACTGGGATGAACTCTAGTATGTGAAATGACCAACCAAAAACTGGAAGTCTCATCAAGCTGCTCTTAAGTATATATTTTATATATCGAAATACATTCTCAAATCAATTCAACAACCGAGTTGATAATGCAATCAACGTTGAGCTGCAAACAAACAAATACTTGCATGCTAAGTTTGACGTGAGATTGACCGAACCTGTGATAATTTTCTTTCAGAGAGCTTGTTCTTGGAATAATCTCCCAAACGGTATCTTTTCATTATCACTGTTATATACTTGTTTTCTTTTTGTCCTTTACTTAAGGTAATCTTGCTAGAGTATGGTAAGAACGCCATGTTTACAGTTTTTAAGAACAATAAACTCTCTTCCCAAATATTTAGCACAATTATATATATCTTAGAATTGCGAGTTAAATTAAAACAACGAAACTTGTGTTAGTCTATTCATGCATTACGTGATGCATGGATTCTTGTTACATGCAATATATAATTAAGTTGATGTAAAAACGTCTTTATGTATTTATTTTTTTCAAATGCACTTTCACTCTGTGAAAAAAAATATAACTGGTTGTTTACCATTGTAAAATTTATTCTTTGACCTTTTTTTATTAACATTTATTGTCTTACCTTTTTTTCTGTGAATGATGAATTCCCTCAGGGATAAGTCCTAAAATATTTAGCAAATAATATACAATTATACATATCTTCTTAAATGGGAAAAAAAGTTATTATATATTTTTCAAGATAACGGGACCCCCCTAATTTATAACAATATGTCTTATAAAGATCGGTTGAGTTTCTCCTTAAAGGGAATAATTATTGCCAAATGCGAGTAAACTTTGCCCCGAAGGAACTCTTGGAACGTGATTTTGGGGCGGTATCTTATAAGTTATAACTTCCTTTAATTCTCCTTCGTAAAAAAAATATACTAAGTTGGAACTAACACGGAAGTGATGATTGATAAATGTTAAAGGTGATAGAGCATAAGGATTACAGAAACTGAAAATGGCTACCAAATTTGGTTTGCATCGTTTTTTATTTTTTAATTTGTTGCGTTTCACTTTGTTACTTTAATATAAGAAAATGGTAGTTTCCACTAACTTTATCCGAAATTCCCTTAAATAGTTCTTAACGTTAGGCCAATGACGTTGCAAATGTTCAACGTCAGCTTTGGAGATGGAGCTTTCGTATGTACAACTCAAGTTGAAATCAACGTTAGATGTGAAAAACAATTAATGTTTACCTGTGTTTTTGAAGCACATGCACCTTTTTATGGGCACCCAAAGAAGGAGAAGGCACAAGCACTCATTTTGATGTCATAACATTTATCAAAACTGTACCTTTGCTTGCTTAGTATAGTTACTACTTTTACTTCTCATACTTGTAACTGCACAACCACTTATTTTATTGCTTTGACACGCGAAGATCTTGTTCAGATAAAACCACTGGCACCGAAATATTAATTGTGACAAGAACTTGTTACATATGAAACAGGAAATGGGTGGTATAAAAAACGTAAGACCTGTGAAGTTGCAAATTATGCTTGAGCAACAATAAGCCAAAACGTGGTAATATCAAGTTTCATACTTGTATACTATAAGAGCAGTCATACAACAAAAGACAGTACCCTCCACCTATTCATGTATTTGAAAGGTGGTAATTTGATCTCATCTTCAAAAGGGTATGTGAATGGGCTGTGGCCGAATATTGAAATAGGTGGCTGGAACCAAATAAGCACATACTAGAGACACGTAAAGTTTAAACCAGACAGAGGAAAAACTGTAGTACATGCATGTGCCTGTCACGGCAACAATTGTCATACAATTTAAAATACTCTTCACACCAGAGAGGTCCCTTTGTGTTGCTGGATCAGGAAACTGACCTTGGATTTGAAAATTGGAAAGCAACTGATCCTTCAACTGGAATCTATTTATCAACCAAGTAGACATTTCACTTTCAGATACTGGGATAGTATCGATGGGGATGCAACGAATATGCATATGAACTTCAGAAGGATCCACCCCAAAGACATTGTCCAAGAAAGATGGGCAGCGGTTTTTGTAGCCAATGGTAACATCATAAACTGAATGAAAAGTTACAAGAATTTTAGTGGCAGGATGATATGATTTACAACTGTTACACTTTCAACTTTCTATCGATTGATATCATTGCAAATAACATTATATATGTCATTTTATACAAAAGGAAAAAAAAAAGGCTTATTTAATATCTCCCACATTTATCAGGTGGCTTCTACACAAGTTTATTTTCTTGCAAATGCTAAAAGATATAGACAGATGACAATGCTGCAGATTTTGCATTATAGTATCAAAAGGGAAAAGCAAAGTAGCCCATGAACAATTCTTGAAAGAGTATACGGACTAACTATGAATAAAACTAGCGTCAAACACTTTACCAATAATTATATAGACAGGAAATAAGGACAAACAAGATAACCTGCAGTGAGAGATTCCCTCAGTTCTTGCAAACAGGCGCAGAAGCCCTTTGTCTTTGGAAGTAGAACATTTTTCAGAACTGGTAACCCATGTTCAGCAGCATACTTTTGACTCCGAAGGCACTTTTGGTCACTGCAAGAAAAAAAAATTAACAGAACACACATACAGAGTTACATATGCTACATCAACTCAAACTGGGAGAGAAGATTGTTTAGTTTGAAAGTAACCATTTGAAGAGTGGTGACAGCATATTTTTTTCCTAACTTGTTTTATGGATGTTTCAAGAGAAAAATAGCAAGATTATCAACTTAAATAAACCTGACTTTTTATGCCAGAATAGCAATGATCATAATCAAAGATATTTAACAGTGTATCAACAAAGATTTAGCTGATGATTGCCATTAGGTAAAAAGAAAAGGCATTGGCAAGTTTCTTACGTAAAATCAGTGCCTTCTGGGAAAAGAGCAAGCCAGAGAGGATCTTGTGGATCATTGAATGTTGAAAGCATACGGCGCATGATTGACTCATCTGCCTCCCACTTTCTTTCCACTGGGATGAACTCTAGTATGTGAAATGACCAACCAAAAACTGGAAGTCTCATCAAGCTGCTCTTAAGTATATATTTTATATATCCAAGGCATCCCTTCCTCAAGGCAAGGTCCCATAAATACATCCAATCAACCTCAGTTCTATGATTTGCGATCAGTAAGATCCGTTCTCTCGAAGGAACATCATCTCCAGAAAACACAACTTTAGTCTTGTTGATCTTTTCAAACAGAAAGGGCCACAAGGCAAGCCAGGCACCAAAGAAAAAGGAAGTTGCTCTCCTGCTGTAACGGACACTAAAAAGTCGAACTATAACAGCACTTATAAAGCCAAAGAACACTAACATTATAAATGCTGTTGAAAGCAGAACCAGTAGACACACCAGACCCCTTAAAATTCTCAATGGTGCTAGAGCCTGATACTTTGCTCCAAAACATGAACTTGCAGGTGTATGAACAGCCATATCCTATATCAAAAGCAATCACAGAATACAAGAGGAAAATACTGCACTGCCTCTTCCAGAATTGCCTCCTCAATCAATAGACCAAATATAAGATATCAATGATCCTGGATTGGCAAAACAGAAAGAATTGCTCTGGCAACTGGGTTTCTGGTAGTGACGCTGACCAAAACAGCTGGACTCTGCCAGCTGTTTTGACCTTGTAGTTGATGACTCAATAAGAGAATGATCTTTGACAATTTTGGTACAAAATGAATGCACCTGAAAGAAAGTCCAGCATATCTTTACCATGAAGGACATCGAGTATCATGAAGCATGAAAGTGGAGAACAAAAGAAATCAAAAAAAGAAAGCCTACACATTACTAATAGAGAACAATTTCAGCATATGCAAAATAAAAAATGGTAAGGTATTACTACTTGTAATAACTTGACTAAAAGAAGATCAAGGAGTAAATAAACAGTGATCTTAAGAAAAATCAACCTTTCCATAAAGCCCATGTATGAGGGAAACATATGCAACGAATAGAAAGGATGCCAGAGTAACATTCTTTTCCAGCTGGGCCAAAATAATTCAATTGTTTGACAACACTATATACTATACTATAGGAAAGACAATCAAAGCATCCAGCATGTGTGATGTGTTAGAGTAGCAACGAGATAAGTAGCTTATGATGCAAAAGGGGTTTGCTGTGGGGAAAATCAACCAACTTTGTTATCACAATAATAACACCACTGTTTGGATAAGTTATAAGAGGAGAGTGTGGGAGCATGAGAGAAACATTTGTTCTATATCATAAAGACATGATGCACTAAAATCGGGATTTTACCACCAACTAAGACACAAACTCACATCCAAATGTATGACTAGACGGCATCTTTCCTTGTCCTTTATTTCTGGTGATCCTTGCAACAAGGCGCCATGGAAACCCCTATGTAGGTCAAGTCAAACTTCACCCAAATAAAGACACAATCTCCCTCAATCTCAACATACGGTAACATCAGATAGGGAACAAAAACATAAACATGATTAAAACAGATAAAAATGGCATGCATCCAGCATCCTAGAAATACATAACATTATGATACCAAGAATGATCACAGCTAAAAAAAACACGACCACTTGGGACACTGTTGACGACCTTGTGTATAAAACAAAACCACATTATGCAGAAAGGATATTTTCTTCTTTTTTGCCATTTTAGAAAATAAGGGACATGATGGATGAAGCCCCATTTCCAAAAACCTTACATTTGCATACACTGTTATACAAGCTCGGATCTTTTTTAATTAAAAGCTTATAATTTTGGAAAAGAACACTGATCTCTTGCAAAGTTGGAAAACAGCAAAACCTCTGAGGTGTAATGATGCAATGAGGCTGAACATCCTCACCTTTGATCAATGTTGTGGCACTTTTTCGGCCCCAGAAAGACACTGAGTGATATCAACAAAACACAAGGTGAAAAGTGAGGTTGCAGCTGGTTTGGTTGAACGGTGAGATTGGATAGAAGTTAGAAGCAAGGTGTAGAATGTGGGTAGGGGAGTGTTCTTCCTGCAATAATAGTACCCTCATCTCCACTATTGATGTTTCGAGTTTAACAAAATACACAGTACTGGTGAAAGAAAAGCCTCCAAAATCTAGGAAACTACAAAGCGTGCCACCTGCTTTCACGGTACGTTTTAATGTTCTAAAGAAGTTTCATTTTTTTCAATACACTGCTAACTAAAATCTGTACGTTGTTATTATTTGAAATAAGCTTTTTATTAAATAAGCTTTTTATTAAATAATCTTTTCACCACTAATCTCATATATTCAATTAGAATAAAATAATATTATTATGAAATATGTATTGCTTCTTTTAACGTTTTAAATATCTTAAATACGTTTTGTAAAAAATGTTTTTTCCTCTAAAATTTAAACACATTTTTCTAGATTTATTATGCTGATGATTTTGACAATTTTTTTTCTTGTTTGTAATTGATGTCGAATGTGTTTATGATTGTCTTAACAATAGAAAATGATAGTTAGGAGTTGAAGAATTAACAGAGACTTGGTAACAGATATGATGATGTTCGTTTGCAGTGGTAAAAGCGATTTTGGGAAATGTTAAAAGCTTTTTTCTTTGTTAACATGTTAACTCATTGTTTTGAAGAGTCTAGTTGGTTCTGGATAATGAAGTGAGACAAGTAAGTTTTACATTTTTCTGAATTTTAAAGAGTAAGAAAAGAAAGAAAAAAATTCCAAATATATGTGTTTTATATTTAGTTATGAAATAATTTATTTGATTCTCGTAATATCAATTTTTTTTTAATCTTTTTATTAATATGAGATACATATAAAAATAACACATCTTTTTATATTTATATATTTGTTATATTTATTGTACATACTCGCCTTAATTTATAAGTTTAAAAATAATAATAAACTCATTTGATAGTTGTCTAAAAATATTGAAAATAATGTTAAATATATTTTCATTACTATTTATAATATATGTCAACATAATTTATTAATATTTTATTTATAAGTTGAATAAATAGTTAATTTCATAATATATAATATATATATATATATATATATAAATTATTTTTATTTGATATTATTTATTATTATCATATTATCCACCTATTTTTATTAACTTAAACATTATAAAGTTTTTATATGTGAATTTTTCTTCCACTTCTATTACCAAACTTGAATTAACATCACTCTAAACTAGAAATCGGAATATTAAAATCTTTCATTTTACTTTGAGACTATTCATCGAATTCATATATGAACATTTAGCATTTATCTTCTTAAAATCACTACTACAAAAATCATGGACAAAAATTAACGTCGAATTTTCTCAATATAACGACGTTAAAGTTAATGTCGAATTTTGTCAATATTCGACGTTAATTATTTCTTTTAATTAATTATGATCAATTTTACAACTCTACGAAACCTAAAAAGCAGAAAAATAATAAATTTCAGTTTTTGGTATTTTATAAAGCATGAACTATGAACGTGTAGTATCAACACCAAACAATAATAACCAACAATAAACAAGTTCAATCAAATAACAACAAACAAGTTCAACCAAACAACAACAAACAAGTTCAAAAAAAAAAAAAAAAATTCAACACGTAAGTTCTTCAAAACGAAAACTAACATTCAAAAGGTGGGTTCATCGAAATAAAGTTTCGTCACCAGTGAGAGAGAAAGCAGAATGCACATATGAAGGACAAAAACACGAAAATAATCGGTTAAAACAAACAAAAATCATTCACAAAGTAGTTAATTGACATGCATTTGTATCAAATGAATGAAAGATTACATGTGATACTCGATAAACTTCGTACGAGAAAAGTTTGAGAAGATAAGAGAGTATCGCGCTAAGATAAAGTGAATGAATTTTCAATCTGCCTGCTCAAATTTTTATTGAATTCACTGACCTTTTGATGTCAAATTTAAAGGGCATTTGACATTTTATATCCTTTTACGTTGAATTACAATTTTAAACGATGTTTAGTAATTGCATTTATTTACAAAAATGCTACTGCTCATTTTTAACGCTGGCTATTCTGTGGACATTGAATGCGTGACGTTATACGCTATTTTTGTACAAGTGAATCAAGTAAAAATTTTCCCACCATATTATGTATAGTGGATAGTCATAAACTCTTTATAATGTATGGTATCCAACCAAACATGTTTTTGAAATTGTAATACTCACTTAGCATCATGCTCAGATTGCTTTCTTAACCTTAAAGGAATGACTTCACTCTCTTAATTGGTTCACAATTGTGTGCACCACATCATTCATCAATGCTTTCTCCCAGTCTAACATATCCAAATACTCATCCTTTAATGACAATGACAAAACTTTATTAGTCGACTCCTCAAATCCTTTCATTAACTAATTCATTATCTTTGACCTAAACCTTTTAGCTAATTTCTTAACATTTGTATTCTCGTAAACCTAATTCTAGTGAGTCATGACAGAGTTACTCCTTCCTCTTGGTTTTGGCTATGATCATGACTATGGTAAACTAATGCATTTTTTTGTTATTGCAATATTGTGAAGTGAAATGTGTAGTTGTGATGTCATTCATAAATTGCACGAGGTGAATCATGTTGTCATCATTGAAGATGGTGTCCAATGATGAGATAATAGAGAAAATTCATATTATCGTGCTTATATATACTATTGAGTTTACCAATAGCTTCATCTAGACAAATAACATATCTTAAACTAATACTACATATAAAAAAAGGTGTCGGATTTAATCGACACACATCAACAAGACACAACTCTGAACGAGTAAACGAACCTCGATAACATCTGAAACATGACTCCAAGCAAGAGACAAAGTCCTATACAAACTCAAGTTGAAAGATAACTAAATGTCAAAATGTTTAAAAATACTAAAGATTGAAAGAATATACGAGGATTAAACTATGTTCAAATTGAAAAATATATCTCAATACAAAGACGTCTAAAAGCGCCCTAAATTAAAAAATGTGCCTAAAAATATCATATTAAAATACATCTAGATATAAAAACATCTAAAAGCACTCAAGTTGAGATACATCTTAATATAAAAGTCTCAGGTCGAAACACATCAAAATTTAAAAGCGTCTCAGGTCGAAAGACGTTAAAATTCAAAATGTGTAACAATACTACAATTTAATATAACAGCATAACTGGTTAAAATTGGCTTTATTTCATTGTTTTTAAGAAACACAATTTATTGCATACAAGTCAAAAGAAATACTTTTACATTTTCATTATATAATTATAAGTTATTAATACCAATCTAATGCTAGATTATTAATTCGTCGATTGTAAACTTGTTACATATCATAAAACATATTATAAAGTTTGTTCACCTATAAACACATTCAGTTTTCACCTTATTTTTATTTTTCGAGTTTTGAGAGCTCATGTACATATAAAGCATATTATAATTAAATTTCATTCATAACTATTGTAAAGGAATTTTTCCTTTTTGATGCACATGTTTTTCTTTTTTTTTCTTTCACTCTTTAAATTAATTTTCTTTAAATTAAAATAATTATTTTATCTATTTTACTATTTTGTATTATTTTTTTAAAATTTAATCATTATTTTATTTGAATATTTTTTAAACTAAAATAACTACTTTTAATACTTTTATGTAAATAATAATAAAAACAGTTATTATTATTTTTATCATAAAAGCGAACACCCATGATTTTACTAATATTTTTTAATTACAGTAAATTATCATTTAAGATTACTTTTAACTATTAACTATTGAAAACATATTTCTACAAATATTAAAAGTGAACTTATTTACAATGATAAAAATATACATTGATAATGACTGTTAAAATAATTATCGATTAACAAAAAAATAAATATAAACCAATGCATTTTAAAAAATAATTCTATTTGATCTCAAAATAACCTCCTAAAATAAAACTTTTTATTTTATCTCTCCGTGGACTCAAAGAAGTGAACTCTGTAGCCCAAAACACGAAAAAGAAAAAGAAAAACTGAAATAAAAAGGAAGTAAAACAAGAGAAGCAAGGAAGCATTTTTCTGTGTTATGTGTAGCGATCCTCAAACCTTCTCTCTTCTTTCATAACATTCAAATGGACATTGATTTCAAAGACTACCAATTGCGCTGCGAGCTTCGGGGCCACGAAGACGATGTAAGATTTATCTTTCAAATCTTCATGTAAAATCCTCAAACTTCCAAAACTCAAACACCGTCGTTTTCTCTTTTCCCTTTTCATTTCAATTTGCATTGATTGGTTGAATTCAGGTTCGCGGAATATGCGTTTGCGGCAGCGAGGCCATTGCGACCTCGTCGAGGGACCGGTCGGTTAGGTTGTGGTCTCTGGACAGCAACCGCAAGTTCGTAAGTTCCAAGATTCTTTTGGGGCACACGAGCTTTGTGGGACCCTTGGCATGGATTCCCCCGAATTCGGAGTTTCCGCTTGGTGGGATTGTGTCTGGCGGCATGGACACTCTGGTCTTTGTCTGGGACTTGAACACTGGTGAGAAGGTTCATACTCTCAAAGGCCATCAGTTGCAGGTCACTGGCATTGTGTTTGATGAAGGGGATGTTGTGTCCTCTTCTGTTGACTGGTAGGGTTTTCGTTTTTTTTTAACAATATCAATTCTTTTTATTCTAGTTCGTTTTCAGTTTGCTTGGATTCCTTGTTTCAAAGTCTTCTAAAAGTTGAAACTGATTTTGCTTCAATTTTGATCCATTTTTTTCACTCTTCACTGCTGCGTAGTACCTTAAGGCGGTGGAGAAATGGGCAAACTGTAGAGACGTGGGAAGCTCACAAGGCACCAGTCCAAGCAGTTATAAAGTTGCCATCAGGAGAGTTTGTTACTGGTAGGCATAGTATAGTATAGCTACTCGTTAATTCATTTGGCAGGAATTTTTTTTATTACCCTTTGTCAGTTTATAGTAATGTTCGAAAGCGAGAATTTATACTTGGGTTTTTGCCTACGTGTAGTGAGATCTTGTTACCTATAAGGCTTTTATTTTATGGGAATGATATGGAGTGAATTAAGTTTGTTAAACTTATGGTCTCACAATTTTAGGTTCAAGTGACAGTACTTTAAAGCTTTGGAGAGGAAAAACTTGCGTACATACCTTTGAAGGACATTCAGGTTTGTTTTCCTGTGTTTTGACATGCATGTTGTATTTTAATCTTTTATCTTTTTTAAGAAATTTAATTTGTTTCTTTATGCATGTTCGTTGTAATTTTTAGATCTTCCTTATACATTTCTTTGGGCGGTGAGGAATTTATAATTTGATGTTGAAGTTTAATATATTGCTTGTCATATTTGTGAGTGGATTTTATCTTGTAAACGTATTATCTTATCAAATTGGTCGTTTTCTGCCAATTTGGCTTGTGTTTTCGAAATAAATGAACGTCCGAGAGGTTGTAAGCTTGTAGCAATCATGCTACCTTGGTAACATGTTTTAGCAGTCATACTATATTCTTTTATGTCTTTAGGGACTACATTCCCTTCCACCTGTTGTTGTTAATGTATCTGCTAATGCTGATGACCTTTGAGGAGTGTACAGATACAGTTCGTGGCTTGTCTGTGATGTCTGGTCTTGGAATCCTATCTGCATCCCATGACGGGTAGGTTCATGTCTACACAAACTCCTCTTGATCTAATTAGTGAATCCCTGGTTGTGCTTCAGAAAATATACGTGCCTTGCCTTTCTTGTTTTTGTTGTTACAGTTCTCTTAGATTATGGGCAGTAAGTGGTGAAGTGTTAATGGAGATGGTTGGTCATACTGCTATTGTTTATTCAGTTGATTCACATGCATCGGGACTTATTGTCAGTGGTAGCGAAGATCGTTTTGCCAAAGTTTGGAAAGGTAATACCTTTTTATCGCTTCTCATGAATCGTGACAGAGATCATATGGAATATTATCAGCATACATTACTTCTGTGACAATAATAAAAACTTACGAGTTTAATGGCCCTGGTTCAGTTTTGGGAGTTCTAAGTGAGCTACAAAATTAATGTCGGTGTTTGGTCTTCAGGAAGTTTAAGGGAAGGCATTTTTGGAGGGGGCGTGTGTCTTCTATTGTTTCTTATGTTTAGAAAACTATAATCAGTTATATTATATTTCATTTGCCATAAATTTTACAATTCACAGGTTTGGGTTTAGGTCAATATCCACAATTTCGCAACTGTTTTTTCAAATATAAATTATTTTTTACAAGAGTACAAGTTTTATTTTGTATTGTCATATGAAGAGACCTTTCTCTTTCATTTTCACCATTCAACTTGCCATGTACATGAATCTTCCAAGGTTGTAAGAAGCTCAAAGGCATCAATTTTACTTCACCGGGCTATTATTTCGGTTTTTTGCCTTAAGTTATGTATCTCTGGTTTGAAATTACAGACTTTTTTCTCTTGAAACTTTTCCAGATGGAGTTTGTGTTCAGAGCATAGAACATCCTGGTTGTGTTTGGGATGCAAAGTTTATGGAAAATGGGGATATTGTGACAGCATGTTCAGATGGAGTCGTACGCATTTGGACTGTAGATCAGAATAATGTTGCTGAACAGCATGAGCTTGATTTATACACTTCACAACTTTCTCTATACAAATCTAGTAGGTATGTTTATTTTATTTGGTCGTCAGAATGTGCTGGCTACTCCTTTGTAACATCAGTTTTTCCTTTTCTTGTCTTTCCATATTGATAATTTCTTAACCAAGATTTTCACTTGACCATGGTAATATATGGTTCATTTCTCCTTGGTGAATAAATGACTTCCGTTTCATGTGAACATTTTACAACTTGAAAATCCATTTTTTTTAATTTTAATCTATATATTTTATGTTATGCTTGGATTAGCTATGTCTTGCTATTATTGATGAATTCAGCTTGATCTGTTTAATTTTGCTAGGAAGAGGGTTGGAGGATTGAAATTAGAAGAGTTACCAGGCTTGGAGGCACTAAAGATCCCGGGTATACTTTTAACTGTTTTTCTCTTTAAATTCCATTTAGCATGAGCATTACCCCTTACCCCCACCATTTGTTTCTTCTTTTGGAGTGTTGGAATCGGGGTTGGGGAGACAGATATAATTTGCAAGAAATGGCATCACATTGGTTGAAGATTGCTCATCTTTGTAAATCAGATGCTATTTTCAGCTTTGAATGTCTTTTCAGATAGGAGAGCCAAGCTTGATTGAATGAAATTGTAGCATTAAATGAGTCATAACTTATAGGTTTTCCACAGTTCTGTTATACCTGTTGGCTAATGACATTCTGTAATTTNTCTCCTTGGTGAATAAATGACTTCCGTTTCATGTGAACATTTTACAACTTGAAAATCCATTTTTTTTAATTTTAATCTATATATTTTATGTTATGCTTGGATTAGCTATGTCTTGCTATTATTGATGAACTCAGCTTGATCTGTTTAATTTTGCTAGGAAGAGGGTTGGAGGATTGAAATTAGAAGAGTTACCAGGCTTGGAGGCACTAAAGATCCCGGGTATACTTTTAACTGTTTTTCTCTTTAAATTCCATTTAGCATGAGCATTACCCCTTACCCCCACCATTTGTTTCTTCTTTTGGAGTGTTGGAATCGGGGTTGGGGAGACAGATATAATTTGCAAGTAATGGCATCACATTGGTTGAAGATCGCTCATCTTTGTAAATCAGATGCTATTTTCAGCTTTGAATGTCTTTTCAGATAGGAGAGCCTAGCTTGATTGAATGAAATTGTAGCATTAAATGAGTCATAACTTATAGGTTTTCCACAGTTCTGTTATACCTGTTGGCTAATGACATTCTGTAATTTATACATTTGCATGATACGTGGTTAGAGAATGAACATCCCTTCCTCTTTTTAACTATGTTATAACTTTCTTGCATTTCGAGCACTCGTCTTTGACATGGTTTCTGTTTTAAGCATCTTCTGGTTCTTAACAGGATCAACTGATTGCCAGACAAAAATAGTGAGAGAGGGGGATAATGGGGTGGCATATGGATGGAACAAGAGAGAACAGAAGTGGGATAAAGTAATTCCCTCTGTTCTATATTTTGTATTTCACTTAAACTATCTATTTCTGTTGCCTAATTGAAATCCAAGTTACAGTGGCAAATATAGATGATATTATAAGATTTTTTATTAACAACTCTCGTTTACTTAAAGATCGGTGAAGTTGTTGATGGACCTGAGGAATCAAATCGCCAACTGTTTGATGGTATTCAGTATGATTATGGTCAGTTTTCTTTGCTTCCCTGAACACTTAATTAG